CTATCTATCTATCTATCTATCTATCTATCTATCTATCTATCTATCTAATATAAATAAATACATTTTTATTTATTTTTTATTTTAGCTAGCTATCTATCTAGCTATCTAGCTAACTATCTAGCTAGCTAGCTACTCACATTAGGCCTTCCTTGTTTGAACTGCTCCTTATGAACACCACGAACAGCCTTCAATGTTGGGCTGAGAGCCTTCCTTAATTTTTTAAGTTGTTGGTGTAGGCTGGGATGCCTGAGGCAGACTGTGAAACAATTCACATGTCATGTGGAAAAGCGACTTTCAATAGAGAAATACATTATCATGCACAATTAGAGATAAACTTGTATTTCTTGTGAAATAATGAACATTTTAGCCTCGAGGCCTCAACTTATCCATGAGTTAGCTTATTAAAGTTGCAAAAATACCTCCTAGTGTAATTTTTGCAAGCCCACAAAATGAATGCGGGAAAAGATGTTCTTTAATAGTTTTTCTAATTTGTAAGTAAAATTATAGGGCCCAAAATGTGTGATTCTAGAGTGCCTGTTGGCATTATTACAGGAGATATAATGAGATTACAGTGCGGCATCCCAAAAAGAGCTGATCTTTAAAAACTTCCCAATCAAATATCAGTCTGATCCAATTAAAGCCAGCTTCTAAAATGCCACACCAAGATCATAATTTCTCACCAATTCTCCCACACGCATATTCTAAAAATGTATTTATTTTCACAGCCTCCTTTCAGACTGCTTTCCTGCTCTGGAAATAATTCATTTAATTAATTAGAAGGGTTGGGAAGCCATTAACATGCAATCATTGCAGGCCTAAGTTTAACTGAGTTTTAAAAAACATTATAGCAAGATAGACTGATCGTTTGATAGCTTTTTCAGTTAGTAGTCTTGCTTTTTTTAAACTCAACTTTTAAAATGCTCTTTAGAAAGGGAATTTTTTTCTACCTTAAATATTCTTTTCGCCTTCCTCTTATCTTGTTTATTCCATCAAAGAAAGGGCATGATGATATGTTGTTTGCAAATTAACTATTCTTCAAGGAAATGTCGCAATCTGAGTTTGTATTGTTCCCCACCCACTCAGTTAACAACCACTCACCCACCCTACGAATCAACGGTTCCCTGCTGGTTCCTTTCGATGGAGAGGCCCCGCTGCTGCCCGCGCTGCTGCACGTCAAGGACCCGGACAGTCCATCTGAGCGACTGGTTTTCCAGCTCGTCCACGGCCCGAGTAACGGACACCTCACGGTGTTCACAGAGGGCGAAGGACATGTGAGAAGGGGGAAAAAAGGTCGAGCACTAAACCACGATGACACCTTCACATGGGCAGAGCTTGGACTGGGCCAGGTCCGCTTCACACACCAAAAAGATAAATCCAGGTCAGTGGAATAGATTTTATTTCATGGGAGGATTAAGACCCTCCCCCCCAGGAGCAGTATGTTAACATTATCCTTACAGTTTTGCATGCATTTATTTAAAAAAAGAACAATTTTGACATTTGTTTTAATGTTCAGTTAATACAAATCCTCTTTTTGGCTAAACTTATCTGGTTCAGTTTTCTCACCTGATCTGTCTGTCTTTCCTTCATATGGTTTATATTAAATCTATTCTATCTCGTTTTATTTTTTTCTCCTTCTCAAAGCAATCCTGGTGCACAATTTTGAAAATATCCTAACATTTTTTGTTATTGTTCTCTTGGCTCACAACTCTGATTTGGTTTTACTTCATTGAATTCCAGGGAGTTTTTGGCAACACATGGTTAATCCTTATTTCATTTGAGTAGTCATCATTTTGAAATCCAATGGGAAAATGTGCATCTGTATGTGTGTGTGACCACAACCTGTATCACAGATGTCTGGTTTCTCTCGGTGGGGGTCTTAATCTATCTGTGACCACTCAGCGAGCTACCTCTTGCTTTATCTCTTTGAGCTATTGGCTCAGTGTTCCAAAATCTACAAGCAATCAGATCCTTCTGTGACACACCAGAGCTGTATTTTTTATGATTAGATCAGGTGATTTTGATTTTAAAGAAGTAGATATCTACTCCCTCCAGGAGTTTATAAAGTAGACTTTAAAGAACAGCATGCAAAGATAAGAACTGTTTCAGATTTTCTCTTAAAATGTTAGGGTTTGTATGAACTGGACCTGAGTGAAAAACGATATGAAAAACCTGGGGCAACAGCTAGACCTGTATCTCCTCACAATACTAGCATCTTGGGAAATAAAATGTACTTGAACTTAGCAAAAACAAAATTACATACAATCTATTCCAGTGCCAGAGGGTGTATGTTGTTCAGTAAGGTTAAACATTCGGGAACAAGACTATAACTGTGCTCAGTATTATTTCAGTTTTAGTATTCACTGTAGACATATGTGGAATTAGCCAACATTGACAGCAACAGTACATAGCAGAAAAGCAAAATCAAGAACATCTGCCTTTCTCATCTGTGTTATGTGAACCCTCACCATCTGAGTCACTGCACTCATATAATTATATTTTTTGGGTAATCCTGGATGCTGAAACACTGTCAAGACATAAAACAGATAATCTTTGATTTCACTGGCTTATTTTTCCCTTATGTTCTATCTTTGTAACAGGCTAAACCCAAACCACATTTCACAACTCACACATCGAAGTAGTCAGGAACTGTCTTGAAAACAACAGGGATGGAATATGTAATAAAACTGCTTTGCTTGCAGTTTGTATCAAACAATGTGTCCTCTGTTTGAACACTATGCAGATAATAATATGAAGTTCAAGTTTATTTTACTCTCTCACACTTACACTTACCGTGGGGGGAAAAAGTATTTAGTCAGCAATTGATTAAACTGCAATAAATACTTTTTTGCCCCACTGTAAGTCAAGGTGCAGCCTTGAATGTGTGATTATTTTTATCATTACTTTAGTATTGATTTCCATCATTAATGTTCAGTTTATGAAAAGACAACTAACAACAATGTTATACTTTATTTCAAAAGAAGGAATTGATATATAACGGATTAATAGAAGATTTATTTACCTAACATTTAATTTTGGGTTTTGATTTACAGAAGCTATTTTTTTTCATCAACAATTACTCTTTTTTTTTTCAACCAGTGCTGTTTTTTCCCTTTGAAAGGAAAAACGGTTTGCTCAGGTGGTCCTGTTTTTCAGTGAAAATTATCAAGGCTTCTGCTGTTTATGTGAAGCCTTTTCAGTTAATGCAGTCTTTGCTTTTAACTTGTCATTATTGTACCTGTGTTATTAAAAATGGTAATTTGCTGGGTTTTATTAGCGAGTTCTGCATTGCATTATCATAGCAAACCTAGTTTGAGTGACTGTGTAAACATTTTAAAGTTAATTATCCCTGACTCATCTCTGACATCCAACAGTTAAAACACATTTGCTTATCAAATACAGTTCAGAGTTTTGACACATGCAACATCCACTTTAGGATTGGCTTAAAATCTAAGTTTAAAACTGTCCTCTTTCTCCATTAGTGTCCATTTAATTACTTCCCGCTTCACTGTTTAATTATTCGTATTCTTCATTTTACAGTACTATAAGATAGATTTACTTTAGAGGCATGAGGTAGGAAAGATGTCCTGTATCTTTCCCTTCGACAGGGGAGCTGTATCCGTCTGTTAGAGAGGGTGTTCCGCTGTCTGTCCACTGTGGTGGAGAGGGTGCTCCTCATTGTCCATGATAGATGGCAGTTTATTGAGCACCCTCCTCCCCACCACGGTCTTAAAAGACTCCAGTCTGAGACCCACTACAGAGCCACTCTTCTTGATTATCTCACTAAGTCTACTGGTGTTGCTGGCTCAACACACAGATGAATAGGAGATACTCAGACATGTTTCCATTATTGATATAGATATAATTGATATTAATGTTTTTGCATAAGCTGTATGTTCACTGTTTTTGTCTTTAAACTAATTGTGGGAAGTTAGTGCCATGGATCAAAGTGGCTGCTTTATATTGGACTGTGCAGCTTCTTTAAAGCCTCTTTGGACTTTTGTGCTTTTGCTTTTTGAAATGGAAGCTAAGTGTCTATTCGTCCAATAACAATGCACATATTAAACATATCAGTTTTAGCTGCATACAAATGAATTAGCAACATGTAATCCACTGCATAGTTTAGAGCCATACAATCAAAATAAAAAGCTACACTTTTAAGCCCAAAATGACAATAAAATCATAATTTTGAAATCATGTCAAGTGGGAGATGGTGACTATAGATAAAGAGACACAAATAAGTGCCTAGATTTTCAACTCATTTTGACTTTTGAAACTGAATTCAAGCATATGCTAGAATATCAGGAAAATAAATCATGTGCTTCTTTTTACATCTTAAAGTTGTAAATGATTACAAGGTAAAAATAAAACAATTATCCTCCGTCATCTTCATTTCAAGTTCTCTTGTATTTCAGAAAGCTTTCAGTTTTGTCACAGAGGTGGGTATTAGGGAGGACTCGCGGAGATAAGTTCGAAGGGTTTATTTTAACAAAAACACTCAAAAGGAGTGGATGGCAGACATGGTTCAAAAACAAGGCTGTGAGAAAACTATGGAGTAGCAATGCAAGATTAACAAAACTGAGGCAAAGTATCAAAGTAAGAGTAAACAAAGCTATGGCAAAAGCAATAAAGTTAACAAGACTGTGGCAAAAATAAGACTATGGCAAAGTGAAAATAAAGATTAACAAGACTATGGCATGGCTGTGACAAAACTATGAACAAAGTATCAAATGAGGAGAACAAAACTGTGGCAAAGTATCAAACAAGACTGTGGCAAAAATACTAAATAAGGTTAACAAGACTATGAACACAAAGTATAAAATAAAGTAAACAAGGCTGTGGAAAAGTATCAAATCAAGATTAACAAAACTGTGACAAAACATGGCTATGACAAAAAACATGGCTATGGCAAAGTGCAAAATAAGACTATGGCATGGCTGTGACAAAATTCAAACCTTACGTGGCGAGGGGAGACGAAAGCAGAAACACAAAACAATGACGAAAGACAAAAACACACTGGCACAGGACATGGGAAACGAGGACTATTTAAACACATGAGGGAGGGGAACCACAGGTGTACACAATAGGTAATCAAAACATGACGAGACACCAGACATTCTCCCAGATGTGACAAGTTTTTAAAAATGTTTGTATCTTTTTACACGTGTCTTTGATAGATACACAGCTAAAAGTTGTCATTTAAAACAGTTCAACTCTCTGTGGCCCCTACTTTGTAAGTCGCTTTGGATAAAAGCTTCTGCTAAATGCATAACATAAACATTAAGTTGCATTTCTTTTATGGGCCAACAGCCCTGAGTGCAAAAAAGTTTCTGTTGTGCGGTATGGATCAAGCAAACTGTCATATTTTTTCGGCCACTACAATGACAATTTGCTTCTGGTAAAAATGAGTTGATAACACCGGACTCTATCATTGTTTTACCTTTACTACTGCCTGAACCATTCCAAAGTAAAGCACCAGCACACAAAACTAATGACAAGAACCAGCAAAAACTGTAGGCTCAACTTGCACTGTATGCATATTTGCACTGATAATGTTCAACTAACCAACTTGGACTTAAAGTTTACTTCAGCTAAAAGGACACAGTTCAGCTAATAGGAAATATCTCTCTAGTGCAGTAAAGGTCTCTGTGGCCTTTCTTCGTATGTGAACAGCATTTCCTAAATGTTCTGAAGATATTTCAGGAGTTCAGAATGTGAAACACCAATTTGGTGAATTTCACGCTGGGTTTCTTGACAAAATTCACCCCCCCTCCAGGGAGCTTGGGAGCTGTCTGGAGTGATTACGTTTATGTAACACTTACTGGGAGTGTAAAGATGTTCAGATACGAGCATGTGTTAATTAAAATGGAAAAAAGGCTTTGAAAAAAGTGATCAAGGAGCATAATTCATTGTTATTAAGAAAACATGCTTGTTACGTCATAGTATGCCTCCTGTGTCCTTTACACAGATGCACCACTTCACTCATGTTTCATGTCTATTTCCAGAAGAAAATGTGCTGCTGTAAAATACAGGTCGTGAAAAGCAGCTGTAGGGAGCTTGACCACTTCCTGCATATGTCCTGAAAATGTCTGTTGTTTTATCTTCCTACATGACATCAGCTTAAGTATATTATATATACGTTCGAAAGATTTTAAAATATAGAAACCTGCAGAGGTTTCACATAAAAATGTAAAAATAAGAAAGTAATTTCATCATGATCTCACATTTATTTCTAGCTCTGTTAGATCTGTGTTAATATGTCTGGCAACTTGCA